ATGGATATTGTGTAATTATGACAATCAGATTAAACATTTCTATCGTCACCCATGGTGTACATTACCTCACTTGAATATTTTATGCAGCTGAAACTTTGTTTATGTAACTATCTGTACTGCTTCATGTTTTCTTACCAGTTCCTGACAAATAGTGCCTTCCTTTCTGCTTTCATGAGTCTATATTTTAGCTTCCAGTTTGTTATATATGAACTGTTTGTATTTTGGTGGCTGAATTATTTAATTATAACCATATTCATAGGGTTCAAACATTTTATCTCATCCTATAACTCAGTGGTGTCCCAAATTTTCTGATAGAGGAGATTATGGGGTGATAGAGGAAAGTGATTGATGATGTACAGTGGGCTTAAGGAGAGTCACCAAGAGAGAAAACATTCTCTTAGGTTTTCACATACAGCAAACTGATTAAGCAATGGCTGTGACTCATCCAGATGGCTGACACTAACAAAAGATCTACAAGCTGCTGTACATGATTTTAGGGTAAATCCTGAGGGGATTTGATTGTCCTTGTCAGATATAAAAGTTACATTTCTTGTTATATAGATCTTGCTTCATCTTGCTCTTAACCATCCAGCAGAAAAGTATAAAAATGAGGTAAAAAGTAAAGACATGTCAATATGCTGAGTTGTAAAATGCTCAAGTCAACAACTTCTGAAAATTGCCAGTTCTGTTGATAAATCACCACTATTATGGACTATATTGGGTTATTTTGCTGAATTCTAGTACCTGCAGTATTTGAACTGACATCAAGTATGAAAAGGTCCTTTAAAGACTTCTCTAAATACAGCTTCTCTAACAGCAATGGAACACCCATCTATGACAAAACAAAATAAAAAAGGGGACATGAATAAACGACCATTTTGTAGTGAAAAAATATAAATATATACAAAATAATCAGGATACATATATAGCTACTTTCTCTTAGTTCAGTGGGAAGAAATATTTGTACTAATATTATTTAGATATCATGTCTGCACCTTGTACTCTGAAAAACTACTATGAAGACAATATACAATGTATTAATTATTGTAACTGTCCTACTAATCTGTTTTGAAAGTGTCATTGCTATTTCTTTCTCATTAAAATTAATTTTAAGAAAGCTACACAAACAAATCAAACATTTTTGTCTCAAATGACAAGATTTCCTTCTTTCTTAATGCTAAAAGTATTCTATCATGTATATTTGTACCATATTTTCATTAGTCATTACTCATTTGTGTCCTAATAGACAGATGCTGTTTCAATAATACAGCCATTGTGCATAGTACTGCACTAAATATAAGAAGGCATGTATCTTTTCGAAATATTCATTTCCTTTGAATATATACCCAGAAATGGAGTTACTTATCCTTTGATATTTTTATTGTTAATATGAGGGAACTTTTATAATGTTTGCTATAATAGCTTATCAATTTCCATTCTCACAAAGAACACAGGGTATTTTTCTCAATATTCTGTCTAGTACTTTTCTCTCCAGTATTTGGTAAGAGTCATCCTAACCATTATGAGACAGTATCTCATTTTAGTTTTCATTTACTTTTCATTTATTTCATATATATATATTTGTGTGTGTGTGTGTGTGTGTGTGTGTGTGTGTGTGTGTTTGGTATAGAGTCTCACTCTACAGCTTAGACTTATAGTGTTTTAAGCCTCCCCTGTACTGAGCATTCCTGATTTTTAAATCAAGGGTGTGTGTGTGTGTGTGTGTGTGTGTGTGTTTCTACTGAGTTTTTTTCTGAATTTTACATTTTGAATATGAGATCTTTATAAGATAACCCATTTATAAATACTTTATCTCAATCCATATGTTACCTAATTAATTTCCTGATTGTTTTTTGTTATGTACATGGTTTACAGTTTGATGTGGTCCTACTTTTTTCACACTTATTTATGTTGTCTACGTTTTTGGTGTGATATCCAAAATCATTCCCATGGTCAATGTCAAGGAAGTTTTCATCTGCATTTTCCTTTAAGGCAGTTAAAGAAATTTCTTGTATAAGGTATAATAAAAAGCAATCAAATGTAATTGTTTTGTGTATGGATATTCAGTTTTTCACAACACTATTCTTAAAGAAGAAAGTTTCCTTTTCTCCATTGCTTTTTTATCCCTTGTCAAGGATTAGTTGACCATAATTACATGGGTTTATTTTTATGCCATTTGTTTAAGTATTGCTTTTATAATAAAGATATACCATTTACACTGTAATAATTTTCTAATACAACTTGACATGATGGCATATGATTACACCATGTTTGTCCTTTGCAAATGTTGATATGCTCTGAGGTCTTTTGTGGTTTTATATGGATATTAGGATTTTTTTCCTATTTCTTTGAAGAATGCCATTAGAATTTTGGTAGAAACGGTAATGAATCTGTAGATCATTTTGAATGGCATGACTGTTAATGAAGCTAATGCTACTCTCTATGATGGAATGTATTATCAGGAACTAACTTGCAGCTTTTTGTGTTGAACTCTATTCTCCAACACAGTCTTTCTTTGTATTAGTCTATTACTAGGGAATTTTTTTTTCTTTTATACACAGATGAAATTTGTCAGTTACTCTTGACAGCTTTTTCTAATCTTAAAATTCAGGGAGAAGTCAGATTCCCTTCATGTCAGAATAGCCCTTTCTAAGTACAATCCTTATGGCACTTGTAAGACCACATCTTCATTCTGTGTATACCGAAAGGATGGGCAGCTTTTATTAAGGCATATTGAATAGTTTTAAAATAAATTATTTTTCAATAATATGTATATTTTTCCCATTTAGTGAATTTCACTGAACACAGACATGCTGTATTTCCTGAAAAAGTATACTTTACAATATTCTTTTCTTTTTTTTTTGGCTTAAAATATTTTTCATTCAAGGTAACTTCCCTAGGTCTTATTATGCAGCAGAATAAAATCCAGATTCTGAGAGATCTGTTCTTCTCTATTTGAGTGCAATATTATAGTATATTTAAATTGCTTAACATAGATAAACTATGTCAGTGTGTTCATGTATTTAAACTAATACAGAATGTTTAAAATATTTCCATTAGGAAAGCCTGAAAAATACACAGTTAATATTCCCATGTATTTAAGGAATTGTCCAGTTTGCTTCAGAGTGTTATGTTTGATTGGAGAGGTAAAATCACCAAAGATGTCATTTGATCCACCATTTATATTTTTCACTCCTGTTCCTTTGGATGTTTCAACTGGAATGCGTGTTAAAATTTTACCCCAAAATTATTACAGGTAAATATTCAATGTAAATTTGCCACATTTTTATATGCTATTTTGTGTCTTTGTTATATGAAAGTTATATGTAATGGCTGGCTTATTTCTATCATTGTGAAGACTGCTAAATATCTAATTATACGTTGAAACTTTAAAAACACATAAAAGCTCTCAGACATTTGTAGTTCTCACAGTTTCATTATTTTTATTTTAAAGAGAAAACCTGAAAATAAATATAACAACAAAACAGTTTCAAAACAGGTTAGTGGGAGCATTACAGTAATTAATATATCACATATTGTTAGCTTTGTAGTAGTTATTCAGAGTACAAGATATAGGCATGAAATCTTGCTCAAAAAACATTAGTGCAAATGTTAGTGTGTCTCATGGGAATAAGAAAACTTAAATTTCAGTGTGTTAGTTTTCAGTTGTCATATGACATATTATCACAGATAAATGCCTTAAAATGTACATTTGATATCTCACATAGTACAAATGTATCATCTTGAAGTTTATGTAAGTGCAGAGTCCCAGTTAGCTTAGTTTCATCGCTGCTCAATGTCTAAAAAAGCAGAAATTTGAATGTTAGCTGCAGCAGCAGTCTCATCTAAGTCTTATTCTTACTCCAAGATCTGGGTTGTTGACATAATTTACTTGTCTTTATATGACTGAGGTATCAGTTTTGCTTGGAGGCAATCCCAGTTCTCTCCGAAATGCTATCCATGTGGTTGTGGTTTCAAAACACGGTATCTTATATCATTCAAGGCATGAAGTGTATCACCTACAAGTCTTACTGTTTCTGACCTCCAAACCTTTTAAAACCTCAACTGATTAAGTCAGGCATACCCAGATAACCTCCCTTTTTCTTTGCTTGAAGTGAGTTGTATTAGGAAACTTAATTATATCTAGGAAGTACCTTTTCCATTTATTGCCATATAATGAAGCTTAATTTAAAAAGTGATATTCAACTGGGCATAGTAGTACACACCTATAATGCCAGAACTTGGGAAGTTGAGGCAGGAGGAGCTCTTCAAGTTTGAGACCAGCCTAAGAGTTACAAAAGTGAGCATAAGGCCAGCCTGAACTGCAAAGTGAGACCCTGTCTCAAACAAACAAACAAAAAACAAAAAAGAAAGAACAAAAAAAGAGTGATATCCCATCATATTTAAAGGTCCTAACCTCATTCAGTCTGATTTCAGCTCTTCACATTTATAAAATTCTTAAATTCTCAGTATGGAAGAAACCATAACTAAGAGTCAAAAGAGTTTACTATGAAGTTAGACTTTTAAGAATTCAAGGGGCAGATGAGATGGCTCAGTAGAATAAGCGCTTCCCTTGGCAAGCTCTAGGGCCTGAGTTCAATTCCCGTTTCTGCCAAAAAAAAAATCAAATATTATTAATATATGACAGTATAAATAGATTTGTGTTTTAACAAAAGAAAAATGCAAATTTATAACTAATGTGGGATTATGAGATATTATATTTGCACTATAATTAATTTAAAAATAATATAACTTGTAAAATTTAAAATAACTTATACAGTAAAATTTTATGGGCATCCACTAATTCTAACATTATGCCAAACTACCCAAACATTCAGAAATCAACAAAACTCAAATAACCTTAAAAACATTTTCAATAAATATATTTGAATTATTTAATTGAAACTTAAATACATTTCAAAAAAAGATTTTCTTTTTTTTTTTTGTATTTTAGGGAAGGGTCTACAGGGTGTTCAAGGTCTCACTACTAGATTGGACTCATTGTGATCCCCCTGTTTACAGCCTCCCAAGTGCTGGAATTACAGACATGCACCACCACACCCAGTCTCAATTGCCATCTCAGTGTGCCTAGGGGGTGGGGCTGGCACAGCAGGCCCAAGGATCAAACCCCAGACCCCTGTGCCTGCTTGCAGGTGTTTTAATCTGCTGAGCTATTTGGCCAGCCCTAGCTTTTCATTTAAATTTACAGGTAAAATATAAATTTTATTTGCAAGAGTTAAAAGTTTTGAATAGGACCTGCAAGATAGCTCAGTAAACTAAGAACATGCTTGGGGAAGTCCAGGATCTAAGTTTGATCCCAAGCACCACATGCCTCAATGCCAGTCCTGCTCCTGGGTGCGCTGAGACTGCCGTAGATACCAGGAGTGGTGGATCATACCTATAATACCATTGCTGGGGAGGCTGAAAACTGGAGGATCACTATGAGTCCAAAATGTGTAGTGAGACCCTGTACCAAATATATCAAAAAGAATTGTGTATCTACATTATGTCAGAGGAAGTAAAATAAACCTTAACAATATAAGGATTAAGCCAATAGGAGGGTAGCAGGAAGACAGTTGAAATGATAAAGAAGTACAACATAGAATCTTGAAAAATGCACTTCCATGACTGAATAGCACATTGACAATCAAAGTGGTATTGCATATTTTAGGAAAAATGAGTTACTGTTCATTAAACAATATAAACCAATGGAATATTTGAGTGGAATACAGTATTCCAAACTTAATCACTGTTTTATTCAATCCATTACAAGTGAAAATTGTTGTATGAAATCCATTACAAGTGAAATAAAGGCTTACAGACATAGAAAAAAGGCAAAATATAAAAATAAAATAAAAACCATTTCAAATTTCAGTGGATAGAAAAAGATTTCATGGAACATGTAATCATGGTCACAATAAAATAAATGGCTAAAAATATAAGTGGTTGATTAAAATAATCAGAAAACTAATCAATAGTTTGATAGAAATATTGATAAAAACCAACAACTTGTATTTCATCAAAAAAGATTGCTAAATGGAAAATAAGCAGTAAAACATAATTGTTATAACCGAGCATGTTGACACATACCTGAAATCCCAACCCGAGCATCATAATGAATTCTTTTTTTTTTTTTTTCATAATGAATTCTTATATCCAAAAATACATGTAGAATTGATTTTTATAAGATTTGAATTGAGATAGACTTATTCCTGTTCTAAGTAGGACAAATTAAGAAGCCTAATAAATTAGTTCTGGTCTCAATGAGTATGGTCACATCATATGACATATTGAAAAGTGTAATGATTGCATCTTTCACAATCTAATAATTTCACTTTATAATATACTGATAAAAAAGTATTTCTTTTCTTTACTTCAAGCTATTTCAGGACTCACTATATTATTTTTCATAATTGCAATATCTGGGAGCTGCACAAAATTCCTGTAATGGGTGAACAGATAATTTTATATATATGAGTTACTTTAAAAGAAAAACACTGCAGGCTTTTCCCCTGGAGCACACTGAGATGGCCATTGAGACTGGGCATGGTGGTGCACACCTGTAATCCCAGTGCTTGGGAGGCTGAAAACAGGAGGATCACTACAAGTCTGATCTCTTTTTAGTGAGACCCTGTAGAGTCTGTAGACCCTGTCCTAAATATACTTAAGAAAAAAATTTTAAAAAAGAAAAACAATAAAAATGATGCTAATTTTCAAAAGAAGATGATAGAAAATTAACAGTGGTTATTATATTTTATACTGTTAGCCTCTCAGTAGTTGCTCAGATTATTATATATAGGCATGCAAAATTGATCAGGCTGAAGTGAATTAAGTAGATGAAGTAGATGAACTTTTAGCAACCTTAGAAACCAAATATTGTGATAAAAACTGCATGAGATTAAGAATGCCAGTAGATCTATTATCCTTCATATAAAACAAAAGCAAACAATTTAAGCATTTTTATTGAGACATATACAACTATCTATACATATAAAGAAATAAAAATAGAGTATCTAGCTGATCAGTTAAAATTATAGACAGTTAGGATTTATATATGGATGGTATGTGTCTACAAGCATTAATTTTATAGATTATTAGATAATGTATTTGCTTCAAAACTTGTTTAGTTCAAGCTTCATCTTACAATAAACACCGTGAGACTAGGCTGATGTAATGGTAAGAAATAAATTGTGCAGGGTAAAGAGCATAGTACAAGTATAACTCTTTAACACTTGGCACATGATATATGATGGACAATTGCTTATGGCATGGGGCTTGCTTGAACTCTAATTGAGTATGTGACACAGTATAAGTCTTAAACATTAACTTTGGGACTTGTATTCTTTCAAGAACTCATCTTATAAGCAGACTGTAACCAGTGTTGTTTGGGAAATAACAGTGGCTTGAGTTATATTATGTGAGAAGTATGACTTCAATTAAGAAGTACTGTCCAATACATGAATCTTTTAACTTTTTAGTAAATTTAGGAATATACTAATTTAAACACTACTTGAACTCAAAAAATTTGTTTTAAATCATGTGATCTGATAAAATGATGTTGTGAAAGGAGTTGAAGAGATTATGTAGCTCAGTATTTTATATATATATATATATATATAAAACTCAAAT